TATTAGGGATTACATTTCCAACATGTAAATTTGGGGGACACATCAAGACCCTAGCAATGATCAGTACCTAGATCCACTTTTCATCAGAAGTTGCAGAATAGCAATATTCCAATGCTATCATTATGTCTTCATTTATTAGCTGAAATACTTACATAAAAAGCAAGTATTTGAATATCCAGTGAAACCGCACTACAAGAAAACATAGAATAGATGAATTATTGCTGCTTTCCTTTATAAGGTTTCCAAATAATAAGATGGTTCACTGGTAGCTTTCTCCTTGCTTGCTGGTTTCATTATCATTATACATTCATGCATGTATTGCTGTTGCTATCTTTATTGAGGCTCCCACTGTCCCGTCTTTGGCGAGGAGGAGCATCGTGTCGCCTCCTAGGCCCTCTGGCCCACCCAAGTAATCTTTCAAAACTGCTCTATTTTCTGATATGACAGGATGACTCCATACATTTCCTGTACAGACTTGCATTCAGGCATTTCTCTAAGAAGCTCTGATCCCCTCAAATGAAAAAATGCTATTTCCAGAGCATAGTCTGGATTGAGAAATGCTGAGTTACTGGGTTGCTCATTGATTCTAGACCTTTCCTGTGAATATACACGGCAGTTTTTCTTCCCTCTTCCTTTTTTAAAAACTAAAACATATCAGGAATTAATTTTGACATGTCTAAACTGAGGACTATCCAATTTTTGTTCATTCTCCTTTAACTTATCTCTGTACACTTTTTCTTCTATACTAAGAATACTGGGTACTCAATGATACCAGGAATGACAGAATTAGAGTATTATAATTTCTCATCTCTTTCATCCTGTAATACCCACCCAAAACTCTAAGATTAACAATACCAACAACAAACAGTTTCAGGGTACTTATTGTTAGGCAGTTCTTTTTTTCCTTAGGATACATCTCCCTTTGTTTGTACAAATTGCTTAAAGTTAATTGAAATAGTTACTCTTGTTACATTTAGGCTACCGACTAAAAATATATTTAGGGTCAGATATTTCATATTCATTTTTTGTTTTTAAAATTGAAATTTATTAAATGTATGAATATTAATATTCCTTTGAAATGTTTACTGTAAAAATTAAAAATTCATCATTTTATAATTATGTAAAAGATGATACAGTTCCAACCTCAAATATACAGAAGAAAGGAAGTAGTATGCATCTAGTTTCTGTTTTACTTTCTCCATCCCATGCTCTCCCTTCTCCATAGGTATGTAGGTAGGTAGGTAGGTAGGTAGGTAGGTAGGTAGGTAGGTAGGTAGGTTTGGAGCCAGAGTCTCATTCTGTCGCCCAGGGTGGAATGCAAGGGTGTGATCTCGGCTCATTGCAACCTCCACCTCCCAGGTTCAAGAGATTATCCATGCCTCAGCCTCCCGAATACATGGGACTACAGGCGTGTGCCACCATGCCCAGGTAATTTTTTTGTATTTTTAGTGGAGATGGGGTTTCACCATGTTGGCCAGGCTGGTCTCAAACTCCTGACGTCATGATTCGCCTGCCTTGGCATCCCAAAGTGCTGGGATTACAGGCATGAGCCACCGCGCCCAGCCTGGATTATCTTACTTAACTTTATCTTTTCTTACATTTTTATTAACTAGTAATCACATGTTTGTCTTCTAGTTTAAGGGTGTTATTCAGGATATTGTTCAATATACTGAATAAATAAAATATTTCTCAAGTTTTAAGTTAACTGCTATTTTGACTACACAAACAATGATGTAAATTTAATTCAGGATTTCTAACCATGGCACTACTGATATCTGGGCTGCAGAGTTCTCTGATGTGGGGCTGTCCTGTGCTTGTAAGGCGTGTACTAGTGTCCTTGACCTCTACTCAATGCCTAACTCCACCAGTTGTCACAACCAAAACTATCACCAGACACTGATAAATGGTCATTGGAGAAAAAACACTCCTGTGGTTGAGGAGCAATGATTTAACTAAATCAGCGATCTCTCTGTATTTTCTACAAAAAAAGCTCAAGGCTAAATTAAAAGCAGCTTCTAGGGAAACATAAAAAGACCTCAAGATGAGAATTCTATCTATGAAAACCATCTAGGCTTTATCTTAATACCCAAACTTCATATCCATTTTTCTACAGAAAAAAAAAATACATACTCTATATATTTTTCTCAATTTCCACCAATTCTTTATGGAACAAAGGAGATGAGTGAATTCATTCATTGGAAAACATAGGAAAGTGACCACCCCTTCTTTAAGGCAAAAATTAGAAATTTATTTATCTAAAAGCCTTTATCAGTCATGTACCCAATTAGTGTCGATTATCCTTCAGTTAAGCAAATCTCTACATATTGTTGGCTTCTTTCTTTTCATATCTGTAAAGAGTTATACTACTAACTATTTACTACTAACTATAGCTCCTTGATAGCAAGCGCTAGGCCTTATTAACTCAACCCTGGACTCACCACCTAGCACAAAGCATGGCCAGTACAGACAAACTCATGTTCTATGTCTGAATGAACATCATTAATGCAGTATGAAAAATCACCTTGACAGGTGACTCATGTGTGATGCATTACGTTCACACAGTTATGGACCTGTGTATAGTAGATGCTTAACCCAGTGCCTGCCAAGACCTGAAAATCTAAACCTTAGCATACCAAAATGAGAACAAGAAAATAAGATTTGCATATTCTCCCACTGGTGGCTGCAAGACAACACATATGTTTCAAATGTAACTTCTTTTTCTCAACAAAAACAAGATAAAAATAGATATTTGTTTAAATGGTTTAAAACACCATTTAAATTTTAACACATAATGCCAGTCAAATGTGGATGGTTATGAGTTAGAAATTTTGTTGAGTCCAGGGCAGTCAAAAGGTAAAAATTGATGGAAAGTATGTCAATCAAATTCATAAATCAACATAAAGGAATTAACCTTTGTTCTAATATTTTTTATGGTTCAGCTATATTAAAGCTACATATTGCTTTAGAAAAGATACAAGTACAACACTACAACAATAACACAACAGAAAGTTCTCTATTTAAGTACATACATTACGGTGTTATTACTCAAATAAAGACACTATTTTCTAAACTTCTGGTATCTGTAGACCTGAACTACTATTTAATTAAAATTTTCCAAGAGTCAAATTTAGGCAGTCAACATTGTATACACAGGATCATTCCAGGCAGATAGCCACTAAGTCGTAGGTTTAATGAGCTAGTAAAAAATCAACCAGGGTAACTAGTGTACCACCTACACATCATTTTGTATACCCTTTACGGTACATGCCTCACCTTTTGAAAAACACTGCCCAAAGCAAATCCAATGTAAGACTTTTTAAACAGTATATCCTAGTAAACAAAATTATTTTCACAAAATTAGTTTCTTGCATATGTGCATAAATAAACCTAAATCTCTTGCATATAAAAAATATTCAACTAAAACAACTTATAGGTTCTCTTCCACCCCAAGCATCCTTGGAAACACATCATTGTATCTGAGTCCGATCTTGTCTGGATGATAGAAAGCAACTGTAGTAAGTGGTCTGCAGCTGCACGCAATCCTCTAGAGCATCACTTACATATCCCATCTTGAACGATACCTTCTAAATTCTCTACACCTCTGTATGGCACACTTGTCCTGTGGGTTCTGATGGGCTAACAGACCTCTAACTGTTAAACTGCTCTTCTTTCCTTGTTCTCTTTATATGTATCTTCAAGGGACAACAGAAGCAGAAGTAGTTTGTAAACATCTAGAAGCAAATTGCCAAATTACTACAGATTGCTATCAATGCAAAAAACGGGAATTAGGATGCATTTTCAGAAGAATAAATTATACATTCTAAATATTATCTACCGATATTCTATATCCTAAATATATATATAATTAATATATATTATTACTCATCTATTTATAAAGATCTACTGAAGACTACCGATCACTTAATACACATAAGACCCAAATTTTCTACCTGAAAAAACTGAAGTGTTTCCAAATAGATGTACCTAAAAAATAAATAATCCTTTTTTTCCCCCTCACTCTGTTGCCCAGGCTGGAGTGCAGTGGCACAATCTCAGTTCACTGCAACCTCCACCTCCATCCTCCAATCGTTCAAGCAATTCTCTTGTCTCAGCCTCCCAAGCAGCTGGGATTACAAGCATCTGCCACCACGCCTGGCTAATTTTTGTATTTTTAGTAAAGATGGGGTTTCACCATGTTGGCCAGGCTGGTCTCAAACTCCTGACCTCAGGGGATCCGCCCACCTCGGCCTCCCAAAGTGCTGGGATTATAGGCATAAGCCACCCCGCCTAGACAAAAAAACTTTTAAGCTTATACATTTATTGAAAGTGATCTTCTAACTCTTAACAACTGCTCAATTACAAGATTATACAACTAAAATCACTAAATACTTGTAGTAAAAATACCTGACTTTTATGAGCACCTTCCAAGAATGGCTAACAGAACTCTTAAGGCAAGTATCCTAGATCTGGAATACCAAGGGTCCTAGGATTCCTCATATAGGACTCACTATGTCCATATTCCCCTCCCCTAAAGAGGTATTCTGCTCACCCAAATCTCTGAAGATAACTTTGACAGGGAGGTCTCTTCTTCCCCAGCTCTTCAGATAAAGTTCAAATAATATAAATAATGGTTGTAACAGAGTTGACTATAATGAATGATGCCATGTTTTGTTTCAGTGCAAAGCTCTTTGGTCATTTCTACTTGTTCTAGCATTCAGATAAATATACGGAAAGGAAAATCCAAATAATTTAACTTGAACTATTGTCCTTATTTACAGTTAGTGAGTCACGGAAAGTCTACTAGTCAAAAGTAAAGTAAGCCTAATCTATTACAATGTAAAGAACTGCCTACTTCCCGTGCAAAGGACATTTGCCTGGGTCCTAAACTTAATTTTTGGGAAAAAAAAAAAACAGATAATTCCATTTACAGGGGCATGGATGAATAACAAAAGTTGGTATTCCTGTAAATTAAGATGAAATGTGAAGAGAAGAAAGAGCTTTCACTTACTTGCTCGAAGGACTGAAGGTGTGACCTCAATTTCACTTGTTGCTTGGTAAGGATGAAAGGCTGAGACACTGTTGGTGCCAAGCTCACTACCAAATATCTCTGGGCTCTGGGTACCCGTTGAACTGGCACTGGTGCCATCACCTCCATGATGTGGATCCTGCTCATCAAACACTGCTACCAGCTAGAAATGAAAGGTAAATGTGCACTTAAAAATAAAGGCACTTAATTTACTACCAAAATTTTGTACTATTTTGACATAATTCTATAGTGCAAAACTACTGATATAAATGACCCTAGAATGGTAAGTTTTAGGAAGAAAAACCTCAAAGAAACAGTCTTTCCCTAAATTTTGATGCTTTACTTGTATAATTCTAAGTCGTACATTTCATATTCAAAAGTCTATGGGTAAAAAATAATAAAATTCTTTGCTATCACAGCATGCTAAGTCAGGGACAGATACAAATCTTTAAAATATAGGATATATATTTAAATGGAAAAGAAAAATGCAAAAGAGTGTGTGTATATATATGAGTATACATATATATCTGTGTGTGTGTGTATGTGTATACACACATGTTATGAACTATTATTCACATAAAAAGGGGATATTAAAAACTAAACATGTATCTTCTCATTTGTGCATAAGACACACGCTAAAGACAAACTGTTGTACAAATATTTATTCTAGTTAGTAAATTTGTTTCTCTTTAGCAATTCTCACTCTATTACACCCCCACACACACAAACACACACCAAGAATGAACAAAAGAGTGCAAATATTTTTGATAATGAAAGCAGATGTTTTCACAGAAACAGAAGTTACAGAGAAGAAAAAGCTAGAATAAACTGGTGTTCAGAATGGAATCCAGGACATCAGTATGAGCTCAGTTTTTGTTTGTTTGTTTTGTTTTGAGATGGAGACTTGCTGAGACGCCCAGGCTGGAATGCAACCGCATGATTTTGGCTCACTGCAACCGCCACTTCCTGGGTTCAAGTGATTCTTCTGCCTCAGCCTCCCAAGTAGCTGGGATTACAGGTGTATGCCATCACACCCGGATAATTTTTGTATTTTTGGTAGAGACAGGGTTTCAACATATTGGCCAGGCCAGTCTCAAACTTCTGACCTCAAGTGATCTGCCCATCTCAGCCTCCCAAAGTGCTGGGATTACAGGCATGAGCCACTGTTCCCAGCCAAACTCACAGTTTTTATAAGTACATAGTTAGGTAAATACACAGACAAATGGGTAAGTATACCAACAACTGTTAATGAATGTCTGAGTATACAAAGTTCCCAGCTCTGTCCACACAGAGATCCTAGAAACAGTGGCATCCCCAGTGCCACTGAGCACACCTAGTATCCCGATCATGGTTTCTAATACCATTCTCCAGTTAATGAACAAGGGATCCTTGACAAACAGTTGATTTCAGGGCTGTGGTCAGGGAAACACATGGTAAGCCTGGAATACCTTGTGATGTCAAAAAGTATGGGGTACTCAAAAATGATGAAGGCACATCAAAGGGAAGCAGGTGTCAACCTGAAAGGGCTCCCAATGGACAAAGCTGGGACAAGTTACGAACTAAAGAAATCATACTGGCATTGGATCATTATCCAAAGAATAAACTAAAATCCATGTGTCCATAATATAAATATTTGAACAAATAAATGGTAGAGAATAAACAGCTGTTCTCTGCTATAGCATTCCAAATAATACATAGAAGGAATGATGGCAACAGAAATCATCATTAGGCAACCGCCACAGTAAAAATTGTTCAGGTAAAATCTACTAATGGATGCTAACATTAATGGGTGTGAATATGATGATAAATGGCATATTTGCATAGCTCAGAATGTCTCCCCAGAAGAGTCATTTTGACTAAAAAGCAAAACAGCAATATCGTTGAAGTGGAGAAACTTGGCAGCCACTGCTGTACCCAGGTTAACATCATTCGTAGTAAGATGTAGCAATATCACATACCATCTGATAAAATGCACTGGGAAGTATATAACATTACTTTTGTGGTATTCTTGCCAAAAATGTATAACTTCCATCTAATCGTGAGGAAACATCAGACAAACAGAAATTGAGGGATATTCTGAAACACAAATAAGGCTCTCCAAAAGTATCAAGGGTCATGAAAATAAAAGAAAGAATGAGGAGAATAAGGAAATTGTGCAAACTGGAGGAGTCGAGAAAGAATGAGAACTACATGCAGTGGGAGGATAGAAAAAGGGCATTAGTGAAAAAATAGGCACAATTCTAATGAGCTCTGATTAGTTGACAGTACTGACTCAGTGTGAGTTTCTTACTTTTGATAATTGTTCTATGATTATGTAAAATGTTAACATTAGGGATAGATGAAGCGTATATGGAAATACTCTTTCCATAAAACCAACTTTTCTGAAGTATAAAATTATTTCAAATTAAGTTTTAAATGTTATATTTTAAAAAGCTATAAAAATAAAAAAATAACTCTATGTCTTCTTATAACTAATACAGTTCTTAGGATGCTAATATACTTCTTCTTGTAAGTCCCAAAGAGTAGGGAGGCACCGTGGCTCACGCCTGTAATCCCAGCACTTTGGGAGGCCAAGGTGGGTGGATCACCTGAGGTCACAAGTATGAGACCAGCCTGCCCAACATGGTGAAATCCTGTCTCTACTAAAAATACAAAGATTAGCAGGGCATAGTGTTGCATGCCTGTAATCCCAGCTACTCGGGAGGCTGAGGCAGGAGAACTGCTTGAACCCAGAAGGCGGAGGTTGCAGTGAGCCAAGATCCTGCCACTGTACTCCAGCCTGGGAAACAGCGCAAGACTCCATCTCAAAAAAATAAATAAAATAGAAAATATACCCCAAAGAGTAAAAAACTTCTAAGGATCCACAATGGCTGTCACCTTGGAGAGTCACCCTTCAATCCCACACCTAGCAACTCTGCTTAGCCTTCCAAGAAAATAACCATGACTGGAACCAAAACAAACCCCTCCCCTGCCTCCAGTCCAAGCTTTTTCAAGGCCAATACTTGTCTGAGGTAAAAAACAGAAATGTGAATATACAGAACATGAGTAGGACTCATAATTACAGTCCTCCTTTTATAAATGGCTTTGTCATTTTGAACAAATGCTATTTCCATGAACATTTATATATCATCGATCCATTTACGACACAACAAAGAAAACCATTGTACAGTCACAAAGACAGACAGGAAGCTCAGAAACCTGCTGACGTATAGATAGAATCAGCTGATTAAACAATCTGGAAGAACCATAGCAGGGTTCATACCGTACCAGGGTACCTGGTATGAAGAAATCACAGTAGGATGAATAATTGGGCTACTCAACCTTATAATGAACAACATAAATCGGAAAAGAAGTCCTTAATATTTACAAAAAATGGAAAGGTATGCATATGTATACACCAAATTATCCATATATAGTAAAATCAGTTTGTTTATCTGACAGTGACTGGCAAGGGTCTGCCTGTATTAGAGGCACAGGCATGCCACTAGATTAGGGGTCAATTGGCAAACTTTTCCTGAAAAGAATAAGACAGTAAATATTTTTGGAGCTGTGGTCCATACTGTCTCTTTCATAACAACTCTACTCACCAATTATAGTATGAACGAGTACCAGTAGACAATACAAAAACAAATGACTGTGATTACATTTAAATAAAACTTTATTTATAAAATAAACAGGCCAAATTCGGTCCATGGTCCCTAGTTTGACAACCCAGTCCAAGTATAATGCCCATCTTTCTAGTAACACGCAATTTTAGTTTCAGTTTGAACAATGAAACTAAAAGTCAAGGTACCTTTGTAGCCCCAAAAAAGTAAAAATACTCATTTCAAGCTCTGCATGAGGATTTTGGATTGCTACACTTGATTTTAATATCATCACACTTTTCATAAGGTGTGTGGCTTAATATGCATTTTCAAGATATTAAGTTTTGACATTTTGGTACTTAATTGGAAGCAAATGAAATTCATGTTTTGTTATTAACTTTTCACAATGATGTGTTCTCTCAAGAATCGAGTCCTTTCTGCAAACTGAAAATGGAGATTGAAAATTACAAAGAACGAGTCTTTAAATGCCACACATGATGGAAGAGCTTATACATATATATTAGTTTCAATAATTATCTCCAGCATTTTTAGAAAACATTATAGAATCACAGTTGGTGCCAATAACGTACAATTCTACAGCTTTCTTTTAAACCAAAATTTAAGTGCCAGGTCCCAATATGAAATAATTTTGTGTTAAATTGAGAAAGATATATAATTTTAGAAAATCTGCTCTAAAAGAATACATATAGCAACACAGCGCAAAAAAAAAAAAAAAAAAAAAATCACAGGGGAACCTTCACAAAAAAACACTGCATATTAAAAACCTCTATCATGCCCTTCAAAAAGTAAAGGAAAACTCTTTTAAATTTGTGAAATGTTACTCAAATTCTAATTTAACAGATGGAATCTTTACTGCTGTCCACAAAGTAGATCATTTTGAAAGTTTATTTTTTCCTTGCAATAATTATTAATCTCTCTTCTGTTCCATTCATCTATCAAGTCTCTATGAGAAAAGACAGGCAGAATTTGGATAACACCTACAATAGCCCAAGTATAAAAAAACTCCAAACATTGTCACCCACTTTCCCCTACCTCAGGACAAGTCACTTTAACTATGAAACATCAGGACCCCCCAACAGAAAACCTGTTATAGAAACATCACACAGAAATGCTTATAAAACCCTTGGATCTAGGGAATCCCTTTAATAGGTAAAATTAAGGCCTGAAAGCCCACAACTGCATGTAGCAAAGTGGCTAACAGCAATAGAGAATCAGAGAAAGAAAGCTACATTCAAAGTCAGCTCTGACCTTATTTTTGGGGTAGCTGTCGGTAAATCCAGTGGCCTCTCTAACATCTCCAAACCTTACTCTCATTTGGAAAAGAGGATGGTGGTTGTGGGTAGACAGAATAATGGTCTCCCCAAAGTTATCCACCCCCAAACTCCTGGAACCAGTGAATGTTACCTTCTATGGCAAAAGGGACTTTGCAGACCAATGGAGTTTAAGAACCTTAAAATGGAAAGGTTATCCTTCATTATCCAGGTAGAGCCCCATCTAATTACATAAGTCTGGAAAAATGGAGAGCCAGGCCCGGCTGTGGCCAGAGAGAGATGTGATG